TGTGTGTGTGTGTGTGTGTGTGTGTGAGAGAGACACTGAGGCCTGCCCTTCTGGTTGACGCCAAGCAGGTGGAGAGATCCACTGTGCTGGCTGTTTGCCAAGAGCAGGAATATGCTAACAAATACATTTGTGCACATGCATCCACACACAAACACTCACACACAAATGCAGACACACAAAAGGAGCCACTGAGAAATAGATTTTTTTGTAGTGATCTAGGCAGAAATAATATGCCAGTTTTGTCCTTCACATTACCACAGACTATCTCTCCTGTGCCTCATTTGCACAGTGCTCTCCACACGCCATAAATCCTTTATTTCTCTGTTGTGCTGTTATTCTATATTTACGCGTATTTGTTATGTGACGGCTCACATCTAAACAACCTTGAAAATGCTGCGATCAAGGCTGATAACTATGGGTTGCAATTGCGCTTTGAAGACAAAACAACATTAATTAGCGAATAAAATGGAAATGCAGGCATCACATGCTCGCTGCCTCCAAGTTCGCCTGGGTTTATGAAGGGAGAGACAACATTTCATACATATTTCCATCTGTAATCCCTCTCTCTCTTCCTCTAATGGCTGCGCTCTGTGAGGTAGATAAACAGGAAGCTCGTCTGCATTGATACGGCATGCTTCAGTGTGTGACAGGTCATCTTTGTACTGGCGGAGTGTAACCTCTCAGTTCTTGCTAAACCTTCAGGATGCACGCAGCTCCTCTCCCCTCCATCTGCTGGGCTCTATGAAGTCTGCACCCGATCACAGGAGCTTTGACTGCAGCTTCTGTCTCTACCACATTGCAGTCATACCTAACCCCTGAGCCAGATCAACAACACAGAGGGAGATATAAAAGACATGAGTGAGAATATCAACATTTTTTCCCTTTTTAAGTGTTTAAAATGTGCTTTCAGCCTCTGGGTGCAAACATTTCTGCATATTTAGCAATGAAAAACCCAGGTAGAATTGCAGTGAAATGTGTGTCTTGAAGAAAACATAAACTGAGCCAGTGTGCATGTTTTCTCAGACTATCACAGCTCTTATTCACAGTTTAAATATTTAGCAGATTTACAAATAATCTGAGACAGAATTTTTGCTTCTAGATGTCAATTGAACTCAATTTAATAGTCTTCAGATTACATTTGTGCAAACTTTAATTTGACAAAAATATGATCAAGAATTAAATCCATCAGAGTTAAACAACACTTTTAGTCAAATGTCCAAAGCATCACTGCAACTCCAGCGATTCTACCTTCCTCAGCGCATCCGGAGAAAGATCCTTGGATTCAGGGGTTTGCTGCGAGCGACACCAGTAAGTTTTAAAGGGGAAGAGATTGAAAAAGATGACAATACTCTCTTCACGTGGAAAAATATCCCCAAATCAAAAGGAAATCCTCCCTCTGTCAAATAAACAATATCAGCAAAAAGAACACAAAAAGTTTGCTATTGGTTTAAAGCGCCAGATCAGTGCAGAGAGCCACTTTTAGAACAATGGAAATTCGACACGATTATTAAACAGTTTTTCTACCAAACAGACGTGGAGGCATGCATGTTGAACTAGAGGATCTCTGGGTGCAGCTCCCCTCGCAGACTGATGCATTACTTTTCATCCATCCATCTAATTATTCCCTCAGAAACCTGAAATTTGAAGATACAAAAGACCGTCCCTATCTGTCACTGAGCGCCATTGATCTTATTGAAAGAAAATGTGGGTGTAGAGGAAACCCAATATAACTCATGCCATTAAATTCCACACAGCATTATTCACATACAGAATTGACAGATTTCCGTGAGACGTTTCTTTTAATCTTCAACTGTTGTTGAAGAAAAAGGGGGAGAAATCCTACACTCCAGGCATCTCTCCCTTTTCCATATTTGCAGTGAGGTTAACAAGAAAGGCTATTGAAGTAGGGAGAAAAAACACAAACCTACCTAACTTGTTGATTATTAACAATGGGGATGGGAAGGAGACAGATGTGTTTCTTGTGTATCAGCAGTGTTTGAATTGTCAGTCTGAAATCAGCGCTGAAGCTCTTATCAAAGCAAAGTAAGCTGATCAATTCCAGATGCTCTCTCTGTCCATGCGAGTCAATCCTTAATACCATTTTTGTCAATAAATTCTCATGATATACCCAATTACCCGCTGCATGTGCGTGCAGCGGGTGTGTGTCATGGGACGTGAGGGTATTCTGCATGCATCTGCCTATGGTAATAGCGAGCAAGGCTCTGTGTCGATGTGTGTGAATACGACTGTGTTCAGGAGAATCCATTAAGCCTCGGCTGGCTCCGTCTCTCTCTTTCACACATACACACCCACACACGCTTACACACCCTCGGTGAGTCATCGTGCATATTCTGAGCAAAGTTACATCAACCAGTCTTATTGTTTTTGTTGCAAGTATGTGTCACACACACAGTGGGTGAAAGTGAGTGAGTTCATTCATTACAATACTTAAATTCAATTTGTGGAGAAAGTCATTCCTATTTAAATTTCTAAACCACTGAAATTCATTAAGAAATGTTGCACGTTTGATTGCATTTATTTCCGGTCCACATAACCGAAAGGCCTCGAGCAAGACACTGACACCCAAATTCTTCCAGATGGCTGCAGCATCGGAATGAGATAAATGGACTACACTGTAAAGCTCTTTGAAGGGTCATTAAGACAAGATGCTGTATAAATACATCCAATTTACCATAATAATAACACAATACAAGACTGACTACCTGGGCAGAGCAAGTAACTCTCCCGTGGTCTCATGACTCCCCAGGCCCCAAAAGACCTATGTCATTTTTCAATGATTACAAATGTATTCAGGGCATTTGCTTTATCATCCTCGATAAGAAACGTGCTTTACAAACGTAAAAAAACAACAGAAAAAAACATTAAATGCCTCCACACTGCTCTTACTTCCGGTAGCATCTCTGCATGGCTGCAGTTAGTGGTCACGTACCCCTGGGACAGTGTGTGTTTGCGCTCGAACGTAAACGTGGCTGATTGAAGAGACGACATTGACACAGTGTAAATGACGCCTTCCAAGTAGAATTTGAATGTCGGGGCTCGAGGACACTTGGATGACACCGCGGGAGCAGTGTGGAGGCATGTTAAGAATCGCTCACCAGTTACTTCAGTTGTGTTGGATTTGGCTGCAGCTGTGAGTGGATGATGAGTGAAGTTTCATTTTTTCAGTGAACTATCCCTTTAATACCAGATGTGTACAGGGTCAGAGCAGAAGCTGCAGCCAGCATCACCACAAGGCCGAGCACACAAACATTCAAGTTCACAACCCTGGTGAAAGTAAAGCTGAGCTCCGCAGCTGTTTCCTGGGTGAAGAGCGGACTCTCACACTCACCCTCACGGCCTCTGTCTCGGCGAACACGTGGTTCACTCCACACACATTGAACGGGGCTAAAATAAAAGACGCACAGAAACGGAGTGAGGCTGGTGAGTGTTGGAGTCGCCCTGTTGAATCTCGCGGTATTTGCCCGGCTCCCTCCGCTCCTCTGACACCGGGCCCTCCCGGGAATGCTGCCGTGTTGACATTACTGGCACACGGGTCAGGAGAGCTGCTGATGACGGTGGGGGAGGAGGAGGAGGAGGAGGAGGAGAGGCTGTCTGTGAAACACGTACACATCTCCACTGGCTCCACAACACAGCCTCTGTCTCCGCTCCACACACACACACAGTCACACACACACACAGTCACACACACACGCAGTCACACACACACGCAGTCACACACACACACACACAGTCACACACACACACACACACACACACACGCAGCAGAGACAGAAAAAAGTTTGGAGCTCAGACTCCGCAGTGCCACGCAGGAGAGACGAGAGGCCGCCGCCGCCGCAGACACGACTTCCCCCCCGGAGCGACCTTGTCGAGAGAAGCGAAAGTCAAAACAAAGACGTGCGCCATAACCGCGAGGAGGAGAAGAAGAAGAAGGAACAGCTTAGCAACCAGAAGAGTCCCACACTTCCTGGTAAGAACTGACACAGCGTTACCTGACACCCAGCTTGTGAAAGTGGAGCACAGCTAACGAACCCCCCGGTACCGTGTTATCACCCCCCCCAGCCCCCCTCCATTTTGACTCGGCCGTGAAGCCTCACGTTAGCCGCTGGTTGTGTTGACGCTCACTTACGGGAAAGTTTCTACGAAGTTCGCCAGCTAGCTTAGCCTGTTAGCGCGCTAGCTAGCATGCCGCTGCTAACTCTTCGCCGCTGCTAACTCTCACCGCCGCGGTCGATGCTGTCACTTCAGCCTGACAGTGTCGCGGTCACGTTAGCATGGAAGCGTGTGTTATTGCAGCTTTATCTCGGCGTAGCTTTCAAGCTGAAGGTGGGAATAAAGACAGTACACGCGTGTGATATCACGCTACAGCCTCACAGTGATGTTAAAGTACAGTACTGCTCAAGTACTTCTTCGTTTACAAGTTTTACTGCTAAAGACGAGGTAGCAAAATAGGTCCTTTTACTCTGCGTGTATGTTGCATGTAAGTTAGCTCGTGTCTGTTCTTGTGTGTGATTTGTGGATCAGAAGTTCTCCTTAGTGATTTGACAGTAATCATCCACTCATCCTGCCATGTTTACTTTGGACCATTAAGGTGTCACGTCCTGTTAAAAGTTAAATAAACACTTTGATATCATCTCATCCACGTGGACACAACAGACAATATCAGGCCGTGTCGTCACAAAGAGGGTCTGGGTCTTAAAAAGTCCAGAAATCAATAATCTGAATTTATGATCACATATTTCATACTGGCCCTTAAACACTTTGAGGTAAGTCGCTCATTTAACGCTACTTCAGTGGCACCTAAATATTCGTTTTTAGTTTAGGCATAGTTTGTCGTGTCTCCATGTGTTGTAGTTCTATCTCAATAATACAGACAGAAACTATGATACAACTACAAACAAGACACTTGTTTTGTGTGGTTCTCTTCCTATGATTATTGTTGTGGAGTTTTCTTTTGTGGAAGTGGGAAGTAAATATTAAGAAATTTAATCAAAATACAAAAAACCTGGCCTACGAACCCCCTGGTCAGAATTTATCACCGTGCACTCAGCTTGGCTGTGGGCAAGAGTATAGACTATGGATACCTACTGTCTCTGTCTCTAGTTTCTGAGATGATATGGCATATCGAGGGTTATCCATGACTGGGCCCCTTGACCATGTCTTTAATTATGCGGAGGTGTACGTAATTACTCCAATATTTTGTCTTACATGACAGAGATCTTGAATTTCATTCATTATAATCTTTACAAATGTCTTTAAAAGTCTTAAATTCAACTTGTTGAAACCTGCAGAAACCCTGATAAATCAGCAAATCCAGATCTAGTTCATTTGCTGCTTGTCTACTTGATGAGCCCATTTAAGGAAAAAGAGAGGCTGATAAGTTGATACCTTTTTTGCCGCTATATATTATTTCATTTTTTTTACCTATGTTTGGCAGTCAGCAGTGAGGAGACAAAAGCTTCATGCAGATGTGCATTAACTCCGGACATTTTCCTGGACTTTTCTGAAGGGGCTGTATGTGAAAACACGTGTCCGAGTCAGCTGCTTTGAACATCTTCCAGAACTTCCTGCCAGCCGTCTACTAGAATGTCTGAAAAATGTCAGAGTGAGCTAATGGGTGTGTTGATGATGTTTCTAATGCATGTTGGATGCAAAGCTGATAAAAACTAAAATTTTAAATGAATGAGAAGGCAATGATATGCTGCACTGGTCCCTAGCCAGTATCAAAACATGTATAACTTTATGTTGCATCTGCATCCAATGAACTAACTCACATACCACAAAAGTAGGACACGACAAGCATTTTATGGAAGTTCACAGATGGAGAGCAGATACTTCAATTATAGCAGTACTCATATCCATGCTGTCTCTGCTTGGACAAACTTTATTGGTGACTTAACCTTAGTGTCTCCTCAGCTGTACGGACACTTAAGTTATATTAGAGACCTGTTGTTGAGTATGAATGGTTGGTTATAAAATGTGATAAGTTAATACAGACCTGATAGTAAAAGTAGGTGAATTTAAATTGTAATTTAATCTGATTTAACAAGAGTGGTTTAGGTGTTGTTTAAATCAGTGCATAACTTCAA